GGTAACAATCAGCCGCTATTGTTTTATTTCGGTAATTAAATTTTGTTTGTTTAACGATTGCTTCTGTCTTGCGCCTTCCTGCTTTAATTTATTAACTTTAGCGTTCATTTTTGATTGACAAGCTTTTGAAAAGTTTTTGGTTAATAGACAATATGCATGCAACAATACGCCCGCTTCTCGTACATGAGCTCCTCATCGGGTTCAAAACCGACCAAGTGCAAGTACCAATGTAACTTTTTCCGAGTTATATGTACTTTCTAAGATTATTTAGACACCACTGATAAACGATGAAGGAAAACATCGTGAGGAAATCTGGACTTATAATGAATTCGCCAACCTGCAATGAGTAAGCGTGGTGATTAATGCTCAAACCTTCTCCGTGTGTGAAGAGGTTTTGCTCAGCAGTGGGCACTTAGGTATAGGCTGTGTCGCGGAGAACCTAACGGGTTGCCGGGGCTCCGGCTCGACGTGCAGGACAAGGAACGGGGTGGTTTTTAGTCAGTAAGAGTCTGACACTCCCTTCCGCCTCACCCAGGCGGGAGCAGTCATTCGATGATTTTCCCCCCTTAAAAAAAAAGTATAGGCTATATAATATCCACTTATGTTTTAGATTATACGTACGTATTTTATTAGATTTATAAAACAATATTGTCTAATGTATTATTCTTAGATAGATTCTATGGATAATTCAACTTTTAATATAGACGTACTAACTACTAACCATTTTAAATTGTGTTTGATTACTTTATCTCTTATTTCTTATTCTATTCTAATTGAAATGTTATCTAAATTACTTGATTTACTTATTTTATATTGCAGCTAACACACACAAGCAATTAATTGAAAAGTCTACAGAAGTTATAGACTAGGTACCATGGATGGGGCCAATAGGGCTGACGTCGATACGGAGCTGCGGAGAACTTAACAAGGTACCGGGGCTCCGGCTCGACGTGCAGGAGTAGGAACGGAGTGGTTTTTAGTCAGTAAAAGTCTGACACTCCCTCTCGCCTCACCCAGGCGGGAGCAGTCATTCAATTACCACCGCAAAAAAGACCTATGTTAAAAAAGGACTGTAATAAATGTTGATATACCTAAATTATCTGAATTATTCTAATACAATACAGACTGCACGGTTGGCGTGGTGGCTGGACAACTGGCTGCCGCGCAACGTGTCGCGGGTTAGATTCCCGCACGGAACAACTCTTTGTGTGATTCAAAGATTGTTGTTCCGGGTTTAAGTGTTATGTGTATGTGATATTGTTTGTTTGTAAACGCACCCACGACACAGGAGAAAATCCTATTGTGGGGCAACGTTTTTCAAATATGTAAAATTTATGTAATCGTAATCATATTTTGACCATAAACTATAAAGGTACTGTTACTAAGATACCATGCAAAATGGCGTCCTATTCGCTGGTCGATTCGCAAGCATATCCGAAATGAGCATGCTAATTTTAAGCAACATTCCGACACACATGACTCTAAGAGACGAGTACTCAATTGAAGCATGCTTTTGTGCATGAAATTAGCATGTGTAAGTACATTCAATTTTTCCGACGACCCTATTTGAGTCAGTGTAAGGAAACATTTTCAAAAAGTTAAGAATACTTTAATGCTCATAATAACATATTCAGGAACATTATAATTATAACATAACATAACAATACGTCTTTTATCCCCGAAGGGATGCACATTCCGGCACTTAATGCCAATGATACAACGTAACACCGACTTTTCACTATTTACCTACGTTATGAGTCCCATGTAATAGGGGGTCAGCTTATTGCCATATACCGATCATAATTTCAGAATCCGTGCTACTACTGAGATTAAAAAAAACCCGGTTATACTTTGCCCTACGCAGAAATTGAACCCGAGACCCCTTGCCCGGCACACACTTGCGACCACTCGGCCACCGAGGCAGTCATTATAATTATACTCATTAACAAAAACCGAAAATGCAAAATACATATAAAGTTAATTTTAACAAAATGCTATGAATAATGTATGCAATTAACTAAAGCGAATTACCTACCGCAGTAGATCAACTCGGAACTACAAACTGAATTCTGAGCGTCCAATTAAAAATGAACTGCAATTATGCTTGACGTTGTCTGAACGCATTACTGAATTAAATTTTAATTTTTCAACCAACTTTTCTATCTAGCATTTTGATGTTTTTCAAAGAGTATTATGCTATTTTCCATTCCCAAAAGATGGGCTGAGATGGCTAACATAAATAAAAGTGGTCTTCCCATCTGGTTTGTTACGATATATCATCATCATCATCATCATCATTAACTCGTCGAGTACCGTATTTATAGACACAATTAAAGAACAATAGGTTGCGGTCACCGGTAACCGCTTGGTATTTGACAGTTTAATCATCGGAAGCCCAATTACCCCTTTAGGATATAAATATATTTATTATATAATTTAAATTTATCAGTGTTTCTTTACTATATTATGCATGTAATATACATGTAAACCTTCATCTGAAACCTAAAGGACCTGAAGAATCAGTCTATCTATTTAAAAAAACCACATCAAAATCCGCTTCGTAGTTTTAAAGATCTAAGCATACATAGGGACAGGCAGACGGCGGATAGCGACTTTGTTTTATACTATGTGTAGTGATTGTAAGTCCCTACCTTCCTTAGTTATGTATTATCGATTATAAAAATCATGTCTTCCCTGTTTAATATTTTATTAATTTAACTTCTGTTATCTACTTACTTCATACTTTTTTTTTCTATAATTTTGCACCTACCGTCATAACATTCTGCACCACCATTGGTCGACAGTCAGAGAATGCCTACGGCATTAAGTACGACCTTAACTTCACGGTATATGTACAATAAAGTTTAAAATAAATAAAAAAAAAATACCCTCACTAGACAAATGAGTTTTTTTAAGGGGGGAAAATCATCGAATGACTCCCTCCCGCCTTGGTGAGGCGGGAGGGAGTGTCAGACTCTTACTGACTAAAAACCACCCCGTTCCTTCTCCTGCACTTCGAGCCGGAGCCCCGGTAACCCGTTAGGTTCTCCGCGATAGACAAATGAGTTGAGAATTGCAAATGGGTAAGCAATTTTAGAACACGAGTCTGTGTTATATGACATAATATTATTATTCAAAAATGTTCTTCAATAAATATGCAGCCATTTAGGAGTTATATGTTTACACATGTTTTTATTTGAATAGACATCGCATGACCCCGGAATCAAACCGAATACCTCTTCGGAACGATCTGGATCAGGAATGACTCATGACATAAATGGAACGGGATCTATTTACAGTTTAAAAGTAACAATAATGAATATAATTAAATTTTTGAAGTACCTAGTATTTAAAAATGTAATTTTAGAGTATTTTAAATAAATGTTGGATATAGATAATAATGTCATTGACCACATCTATATACATACCTACAGATAAATAATATTGAAGTGTCTGTTTGTTATATTAAAATAACCGCTTTTTATTAGGACATGCATACGATATACACACATACCAAAATAACATTTATTACAATTTTTGTCTGTCTGTTTGTTTGTTTGTACTGGCTTATCTCTGGAATGGCTGGACTGATTTTGCAAGATTTTTATTGACAGGTAGCTGATGTACTAAGAAGTAACATAGGCTAGTTTTATTTTAGAAAATTGAAACAAACGAAACGTTATGTTCAAAAATTCTACACGAAGTCGCGAGCAACAGCTTGTATCTACATACATAAAATTATATGCATCCACCCATGAACAGAATCCAGCAGATCAAAATCACCCAATCTCCTTAATACGTTTTCAACTTTATCTAGAAAGAACAAGGTTAAAAATTCAGTGAAAAAATATCACTAAGTGGATAGCCTAATATGCCACTTGTATACTTACCTATTTTATACAAATTAAATGTTAATAGGGTCATTAGGTTATATTGGAGAATCGATGATATTTTCTTCTTATATATTTTGTTTTATTTTTAGTAAATTAAAAACAATGAATATTTGAAGTAACAGGTAGACAATTAATTAAGCATATATGGCCATTTAGTTGTATTAAGCAATGGAGCCATTTTTACTGTATGGATGGAAAATATCCCTTAGTGTCAGACTCACTGACTCAAACCACCCTGTTTTAATAAATGCTCGCTGCAAATTAATGTATGACTAGCCTAATCTGCAATCCCGGCACCAATAGGTCAATTGAAATTACACTAAGAACATCAACGTAAACTGGTAAACGTAGAGTAAAACATCCTTTAACTTGTCGAGTACCGGTTTTATAGACACAATTAAAGAACAATAGGTCGCGGTCACCGGTGACCGCTTGGTGTTTGACAGTTTAATTTGATGAATGACGATTCAGCAAAATGGCTGCCTGTGATTGGATGAGATGATCTCAAGGTTGATCTCATTGGAGGGCTATTGGAGAACACATCACCGAATGGATACTGACCAATGCTAATAACGACGATAATCAATATTATAATATTATGTATAAGAAACGAATACATGAAATTAAATTATCCCCACTATTTTCCGAATTATCAACAATACCCGGAAACGAAAGCAAAATTTAAAATTTTAATTACTTTTAAACATTTTTAAATGTAAATCGCTGTCTTGTAGTTCGGAATACTGTGTCGTGATTATTTATTCTCGGTTCGAATTTCGGTTAGTGCAGTAGTCATTATCTGTCGACAATTTAAGTTTGAAAAAGAATTAATAAATTAAAAAAAACTGCTAATTAAGTTTAATTGAATAAGTTTTAAGTGAATTTTAACAAGAAGTATTTTTAGTTTAGAAATAAATAGAAACCAGCATTTGAACTAAAAGAACTAAATACTCTAGAACATTTAAATAAACCGTTCTAATTCATCTCTTCTGCTTCGTTGACCCTTGATAAAATCTAAAATACAGAAGAAGAAAAAAAAATTCGTGAAACAACAGAAAATTCCTTCTGGAAGACGCTGAACTGACACACACAGATTAATTTGAAAAAATGGCTGCAATAGACACTATGGATCCAGCTCAAGAGTACCTGGAGACTATGCTGAGCCGTCACAAGAAGATGGATGATCTGACAGAAAGAGGAGACTCAGCAGTACAGCAGTTCTATCAAGATGCTGTTGTGTTTGTGACTGGAGCCACTGGATTCCTTGGGAAGCAGCTCATTGAGAAGTTGATCAGGTAAGAGCAGCAGTTTAAGAAGTAGACCTAAAGAAAGTGTCAATTATTTAGCTTAGCAAGCCTTTAAAAGATATAAAAGAATAAAAGTAATTTAACAGAAAATAATGCTCATCTTATAAAATGTTTCAATTTTTTAATCTATTATTATGTTATCGGCTTACTCACGTAATTATTTGACGAGGAACTCGACTAGTTTCAAGCCATACTAGAGGCTCATATTCATGAACAGCATTTCGCGACCCGCGACTCGGCGACTGTCACGCTGCTACTTCTGCGCTCCGAGATCCTCGTCAAATAATTACGTGAGTAAGCCGAAAACATCCTTACTAATATAATATTATAAATCGGAAAGTGAGTTTGTTTGTTCCACTTTCGACGTAAAGTTAGAAGTCCGGATTAAATAATAGGGTACTTTTAATCCCGGAATAAATTTATATTCCCGAGGGAAAACAAAAGTATTGGTATAGATGACGCTGTGTGTATTGGTATATGTCACATTGGCTTTTTATCCTTTTGTGACGTGAGCGAAGCCGCGGGTAAAAGCTAGTAATAATATATTTAGTATGTCTCACGAAAGTTGTAATACATTTTTTTAATCGTTTGGTTTTATTAGTTTCTTTTCGTTTCGTTTGCTGATGCCAACAGTTACATTTCATGTAATTTTTCCTTCGTGTCTATTTACGTGATAATAATGTACTTTCAGATCAACAAAACTTTCCAAAGTGTATGTGGTATTAAGACCCAAGAAAGGCAACAGCGTTGAAGAAAGACTAAGTGAATTATTAAAAGAACCTGTGAGTATTTATAATTCAGTAGTCTTATCATCATCATCATCATCACTATCAGCCAGTGACAGTTTATCCCAGAGTACTACTACCAAGTCTCTGTAACATAGCATAACATCACGCCGTTTATCCCCGAAGGAGTAGGCAGAGGTGCACATTATGCCACTGTACAATGCAACACCCACTTTTCACTATTTATGTTGTGAGTCCCATGTAACAGACTCCGTGCTACTACTGAGAATGTTTTAAAACCCCAGTAACACTTTGCCCGACCCGGGAATCGAAACCGACACCCCTTGCCGAGTCGCACTTGCGACCACTTGACCAACGAGGCAGTCAAGTCTCTGTAATGAATCCTAATTTGTACTTAGCATGTAAAACCATCTTATTCAAAATATTTCTCTCCAGGTATTTGACAAACTAAGAATACAGCAACCAGCATTTGCAGAGAAGATTGTCCCGGTTGCAGGTGATGTCGGTGAACTTAACCTTGGTATTAGTTATCAGGAATGGAACATTATGGCCGATGAGGTATGTTCAAAGAGAATTATCATTACTTATACTACTTCCAATTATAACAAAATAGATTTATATCTTTTAGTGACAAAATAGATGTATAGTAGTTAAAAACCGACTTTAAAAAAACTAAAAACTGATAACAAATGAAAAGTAAAAACTGAAAGCAATAATAAAAATTATTAGTAGGTACTAATAGGTTACCCACCCATTGATAGGTTAGAAGTCGGCGCCATTAGTGTAAAGCTACATATGTAGATCCGTTTTGCCACTTATAATCCACATAGGTGCAAAGTTCTAATCAATACAAATTATACAAAGGTAGTTACTACAAAGCGTTGACGAGTTCCCTTAACAATTACACTTCTTCATCATCAGACCCTTAATGACAGTCCCACTCTATCTAGGTGTAAAGTTCAAGCCCAAACACAAGGTAGTTAATACATATTAACCCATTTGGGACCAAATGCAAACTACACATAATTTAATAAAAAAAACTTTATTAACTCAATGATATGACGCCCACAAACTAATATCAGCAAAAAAAATTCAAAAAATATTTTTAGAAGTATTAAAAAAAAAGCCGTCCTTGATTGGGGACAACGGTCTCATGTGTAGTACTTTTCGAAGTAGTAACTGTTTTCGACACATAAGGTTCTAACGCATTATTTGCATTGATATCACAGTTTTTTTATGACTAACTGCGTATCGTAACAGATATTAACTAAATCTCTGCGGAAAATGTCTAAATCAATTTGATGTGACGCGCCTATATTTTTTTTGAGGGTATAAATCATGCATTGCGTTTTCCGCCTGGGGGACTCTTACTGGCTAAAAACCAACACGTTCCTAATTCTGCTTCAAGCCGAAGCCCCGGTGACCCACTAGGTTATTCATAGTAGTCGGGCATCTGTCTCACTGAGCCATCTCGATCTAAGGCGGTCTGATCTGCACTTTGAAGCACGCGCGTAACGCCACGCACCTTACAGGTACAGGTCTGGTTCTGGGCGGCGATCTGTTCTTGCTACTATGACTGCTTCGCAGAAAGAGATGTTTTCCAGTTCCCCTCGCTCCGCACCACAGCCAGAACCTAAGCTGGACGTGGAAGATTATCGTCGTCGATCACTTCCCTGAAGACACGGCGGTGGTCAACGTATACAGGGCATAATGCTACTCTATCCTCTGGGTGGACTTCGCTGTGATGACACCAGAATATAGCTTGAGGAAATGCCCCTTACTGCTGAATTCTGGTATCGGATGCGACGTCTGGTACTGTAGGTGGACTTTTGCATCTTCGGTCTTGATGCCCATCAGATTTTAGAATATGAACGCGTAAAGATATGTGGGAATTGGTGATGCTCTTCGTAAATTAACGTCTGTTGTCACCAAGTATTAGCTATAACTAAGTTTAGCCTATAGGTGACCTTTATAAATTGGAAAACAAAATACAAATCAGGTATAAATGTTTTAAAAATATACTACAGATGTGCCCATTGTCCCCATACGGGGACACCATCATTTTTTCTAACTTTCCCCTAAGTGGAATTGAAAGTATAAGGATATTCTTCAATATTGTTTTAATTGACACTATATGCAAGCAATAATCACAAAAAAGTTTTATAAATCTACATAATAACGTACTATAAAACGCCTCTGCTTTCAATAATAATTCCCATTTCACTTCCTCTTGATAAAATTGACAATATGACCCCTTTTTTGTAGCAATTTGTCAAAAGTTCTAATAATTTTAGGAAAGTACACTACTCCTCATTATAAATACCCATGAAATGTGAAGATAGCTAAAATAATTAATAACCAGCGGGTAAAAGAAAACCTGTCCCCATATGGGGACGGCGGGCTCAAATGGGTTAACCGTTGAGGAGTTACCTCAACTGTCTGTCGGCTCCATCATCAGATCGACTCCAGACCCTTATCAAATTGTAGTGTTTAAAAATCCTAATTGAAAAATTGTTACTATATATAGACCTATTACTTGCCTCTAAAAATTTCGAAAGTTCCCCTCGGTTTCCTTAAGATTCCATCATCAGATCCTGACCTTATGGAAATGGGACCATTTCGGTAGGATTATACCCTTTCAAACAAAACAAGACTTTTGGGGACCGGTTCACAAATGGCAGAGTATTCGGTGAACAAACAAAAAGAATAAGAAAACCAATCAGCTGAACATAGTACCTCCTCCTTTTTTTTAATTCGGTAAAAATTGACCCTTTTGTAAAGGGTAATTTTTTTTTTTTATATGACAAGTCTGAATTTGTATAAAAGTATTTTTTTTCTCAATAAAGTTTAAATACTGGTGTGCTGACTGCTGTAATGTGTTAATGGTTTTTAGTGTCAGAATATGTCAGGTCCAGAAATTCTAGGCATTGTACTGCTTCAAAGAACAAAACATCAAATTCTGGAAATGAAACAATTGTTCAATTTTTATACATTTTCTTCCAACAGGTCAATGTAATATTCCATTTAGCCGCTGCGACCAGATTTGATGCTTCCATTCGAGAGTCAACATTGATCAACATCCGTGGTACCAAAGAAGCTCTTCGGTTCGGCAAACAGTGCAAAAATCTCAAGTAAGTGGCATTTGTAATTACTATTACTACTCGTGAAATAAAAAAGTTTGATCTTTCAATGATGCATTCAATTAATTACTAAATATTTGATAGGTTAGAAGTCGCCGCCATAAGTTCTGTACAAAATTATTTATTAGAACCTTAATAAAAGGTTTGTAATTATAAACCGTTTTGTAAGATTTAAAATGAGACCAGTCAGCAGCATTGTCTGAAAACCTGATTCTTTAAAACTGTCGTTTTCAACCTGCATGCCAACTGTGGTACATGGTAGACCCCTCTTTGGGCAGTGCAGGCCGACAATCGCGGTGAACTCTCACGGACAGTTTACGACGCCTAACTTAAAATTCTATTATTAATGTTCTTTAGGTTGTTCGTCGAATCAGTCAGTCTCACCTGTTAATTGAGCTGACTGTAAACCGACACATCCCACTGCCTTCAGAACGGGTCCGCTCAAACTGTTGTGGTTCTTTCCTCAAAAGGCCTCTACAGAAAGAACTTGCACGGTTCTCACACATAATCTTTTATACATATTTGTCTGGACTTTAAAAGAGACCTCTGAGTTTGTTTCGGCATTTGTTCTCAGAGTAGTCAGTTAGGAAATGTTGACCTCATCGTTCGCTTGATAAAATTGACGTGTAAAAGTGCTGCCTTGTAGCCTATTAGCAGAAATAAATTCACTTGTTTCACTCGTTTCACTATTCCTACTGGACCATACTATGAAAGCAGCAAAATAACGTTATATTATTGGTATAGGGTATAGTTATATGATTGGTGACTTTGGGCTCGCTGCCATTGCAGCGGTAAGTCCCCTCTTTGAGGAGTGGCTTGAGAGACGCTACGGCGTCCTCACCTACCGCCTGACGCAGGTCCTCACCGGACATGGAAGTTTCGGGAGGTACCTGTGTCTGATGGGGCGGGAGGAAAAGCCCGGGTGTCATCACTGCGAGGACCGCCCTGAGGACACGGTGGAACACACCGTAGCGGAATGCCCTGCGTGGGCTGAGCACCGCCGTGCCCTCGGGGAAGTGATCGGCGATGGCGACCTCTCGCGTCCGGGCCTAGTGCAGGCCATGATGCGGAGCGAGGGGGACTGGGATGCCGTCTCCTCCTTTTGCGAAGCAGTCATGCTAGCTAAGGAGGAGGCGGGACGCGTGAGGCAGCGAAGCGCTGCCTCCTCGCGACCCAGCCATCGCGAAGGACACACCGGGCGTCGGGGATCGCGGGACGATCTCCGGCCACCGTAAGCGCGGGCCTGCGGACGGCGAGCATGGGTGGCTCCCCGTCCGACAAGAAACAGACCCGAGCGTACGGCGCGTCGCGTTCCGCGCGCGCCTCAAAGAGCCATCAGACCACCACAGATGGGGCCCAATAGGGCCGATGCCGATTCGGAGTCGCGGAGAACCTAACGGGTAACCGGGGCTCCGGCTCGACGTGCAGGAGAAGGAACGGGGTGGTTTTTAGTCAGTAAGAGTCTGACACTCCCTTCCGCCTCACCCAGGCGGGAGCAGTCATTCGATGATTTTCCCCCCTTAAAAAAAAAAAAAAAAATATGATTGGTGACTTGTTCGTCCGCGAGTCACTTAAAAGGCCAGTAGAATACCAGCGCGAGGCCCTGTCTTGCACATGCTGAACTGGTCCTATTTCACCGCAGACTTGGGACATTTTTTTTTTATATACGTTGCCCCACACTAGGATGTTCTCCTGTGTCGTGGGTGCGTTTACAAACATACAAGCTCACATACACATGACACCCAGACCCGGAACAACAATTTGTGGATCACACAAAGTGTTGTCCCGTGCGGGAATCGAACCCGCGACACGTTGCACGGCAGCCGTTTGCCCAGCCACCGCACCAACCGTGTAGTCGATATTGGACAAGGAACAATGTGTGTATGTGAACTTGTATGTTTGTAAACGCACCCACGACACAGGAGAAAATCTAAATGTGGGGCAATTAAAAAAAAAATGTCAGCCTATTAAAATTTTCTTTCTCTTTCATCTTGTTTCTTACCCTATCTTTTAATTTATTAATCTTCTTCTCGTAAACAGAAACCGGAATTAATAATTTTTGCGTATGAGTGCCCAATTTCATAAAATCAGTTGAGTAGTTTCTGATTCTTGACTTGAAAATTCGTGTCATGTAAACGCTCTTAACTATAAGGGTGCGTTCACATCTGGCAGATGTGCCGCAAATGTGCAGCTCGCGTGCTGTTTTCGAGCTGCCTGCGAGTTGTGCTTTCGCGGAACATTCCCCAGATGTAGACGCACCCTAAGATAGGTACACGAAAATTATTTTATGTCACAATTAAAACTGACACATACAGTATTAAATAGGCCACGTAAACCGAAAACAATAATCATTTAAATGGATTTAATTTAAAGTATGTTAGTGGGTTACAAAACTAAATATTCATAAATCTAAATCTTATACAGCTTAAATAATATATTATACATTCAAATACATAATTACGAGGTAATCAAATCAATACGTTAATTGGGTATTTTAATATATTAACAAATTAAAACTTTCGTTAGATCGTCACGTAATAATCAATACATTAATATAGTTTTGTATCCTGTGCTCTCTTACCTTTATTTATTTATTTAATTTAGACTAAGAAATAGTGTGAATAGGTACCCGTGAATAATGTATGTATCACAATAATTAAATGAAATCAAATACCACGCGTCTTAATTTTAATTAACCACTTTATTTACTCTTTGTTTTAATTTACATAATGTATTTATAAGGAAAATACATTATGGTCCATTGTTAAGTCACTTATTCTTCTTTCCTTCGCTTCTTTGGCGCCAAATGGCGTGTAAAATATATGTATGATCAGCTTAACAAGATCATTCTATTCGACTAAAAGACTTCCATTCATATTTATCCATCCTAAAATACCCATAGACACTATTCAGGGCCCTCTTCAGGGCAACGACCTCCCTTCCTTCGTTCCACTCATCTCTGTGAAATGCTTTCTGCGGTTAATCCACATAAATTACAATATTATGTTTTTATTTCCAGCTTGATCGAAAACTGGCCAAACACGTACTGCTTCACAAAAGCTATTGCTGAAGAAGCAGTGAGGGCTCTGAGTGGAGACCTCCCAATCTGTGTGGTCAAACCTTCGATAGGTAAGCCTTCTGTTACATAATTGATAATCCATAACCATATGGTGTCGGTACCTGTATGGTTATGGCAGAATATGCCACAAAATATGGTCCTGCTCGTACCGCTAGTGACACAAAAATAGATTAAGGGTAACTGTCCACGTGTCCACGTCATTTGACAAATGCATGCATCCAAAATCAATAAAGCCTGCAAACAATGCTTGCATTTTGCTTAGAAACAATGACAACTATCCACGTAGTGACAGCGACAAATCCGCCTATCAGGTCTCTTTTAGAGGACTCGTGCCTCTCACAGGTGCTGAGGATGGCCACCGAGGTGGTTTTAATGAGGTAACAAATCCCACACTCCCTACTCTTTTCTCCCCAAAAACCTTGGCGCCGTTTGAAGGATTCCACCAGTCATCGAAAAAAAACAGAACAGATCTAAGCGACTAGAAGCCTGCAAACTCCGAGAAGTGGTAGTCTGTGATAAATCTAAAACCGTTAAACTGTAATCACCCACCAGTCAAAAGCTGATTAATAGCATACTCTTATGTAGTCTCCGGCCACCGTAAGCGCGGGCCTGCGGACGGTGATCATGGGTGGCTCGCCGCCCGACCAGAACCAGACCCGAGTATACGGCGCGTCGCGTTACGCTCGCGCCCCAAAGAGCCATCCACGGATGGGGCTCAATAGGACGGATGCCGATACGGAGCCGCGGGGAAATGAACGGGTTACCAGGGCTCCGACTCGAAGTGCAAGAGTAATCTTGCACTTCGAGCCGGAGCCCTTCCTACGAACAGGATAGTTTTTAGCAACTACCCAATTATTTATAAGTAATAAATACATGATAAAATGTTTGTTTCAGTGATAGGTGCCTTGAATGAACCGCAACCTGGTTGGATAGACGTGTCTGCCGTGTATGGAATTACTGGTGTAAGTTAAATCTCTTAATACATATTTAAGACTACCTCGTTGGCCGAGTGGTCGCAAGTGAGATTGCCGGGTAAGGGGGCTCGGGTTCGATTCCCGAGTCGGGCAAAGTATAATCTCAGTAGTAGCACGGAATCTGAAACTGTGCCCGGTATATGGCAATAGGCTCACCCCCTATTACATGGTACACATAAATAGTGAAAAGTGGGTGTTATATTGTACAGTGGCATATTGTGCACCTCTGCGTACCCCTTTGAGGATAAAAGACATGTTATGTTACATAGTAAAAAAGGGTTTTACAGAATAAAGTTCAATTAATTTGATGATCATCCAACCCGCCATCTTAGTGTGAAGATTGAGGTATAAGCTATATGGAAGGTCCATAATAGATAGTTCAATAATAAATTGTCGCGGACTGTTGTTGATGATGGTGTAATTGACGAATTTAACTGCGTGGTTCAATTCTCACACGATACAATTATTTGGGTGAATTACACATTGAAGTCAAAACACTAGATTAACTATACAGTCGAAATAAAATAGGTGTTCATCAACAGCCTATAAATGCCCACTGCTGAGCAAAGCCTCTTCTCACACGGAGAAGGTTTGAGCATTAATCACCACGCTTGCTCAATGCAGGTTGGCGATTTCAAACTTATAATTAGAAATTATAAGCCCAGGTTTCCTCACGATGTTTTCCTTCACCGTTTGTCAGTGGTGTCTAAATAATCTTAGAAAGAACATATAACTCGGGAAAAGTCACATTGGTACTTGCCGTTGGTAGGTTTTCAACCAGCACCCTCAGGCATGAGAAGCGGGTGTCTTAAACCTCCGGGCCACCACGAGATGAAATAGGTGTTGATTAAGATTAAATTTAATTTACAGGTTGGTGTAGGAATAGGTTTAGGTCTAATGCACACGTCGATGACAAACGGAAAAGTTCACTTGGGCCTAATACCAGTCGACTACGTCAACAATACGATCATAGTCGCAGCATGGGAGACTGCCAAGCAAAAATCAACCAAAGACAAGAAACCTAAAGTCTACACTGTAGTATCGACCACGAGAAGCCCAAAAAAGTGGAGTAAGTATTTTTAGAATCAGATTTAAAAGAAAAAAAAAATGTATGAAAATCCTCCCTCAATGTTCCCCAAACGGACCTATTGCCGTCATTATACGATACAATACAAGGACATGCTTTGACAGTGAACTTAAAAAATGGTCAATTGAGTTGATTGTGTTCTTCAAGTAGATTAAATAACAACATTGTTTGCTTGAAGCATACATTCTAGATCAATCCCAGAGTCTATCAAAATGATACATTATTAGATAAAGTTTTTTTTATGGCATAAGCCGGTAAACGAGCAGACGGATCACCTGATATGGTAAGCAATCGGCGTAGTCCATGGACACCTGGAACACCAGAGGCGTTACAAGTGCGTTACCGGCCTTTTGGGGATTAGGAGGATCGTTGGGGATTCAGGAATTGGGGAGATGGGGAAGGGGTAGTTGGGCCTCCGGTAACCTCATTCACACGACGAAACACAACGCAAGCGTTGCTTCACGTCGGTTTTCTGTGAGGCCGTGGTATCACTCTGGTCGAGCCGGTCCATTCGTGCCGAAGCATGGCTCTCCTACACTGAAAAATTCAAATGATTGGAAATTCTTGGATTTAGGTATCACTTTACGCCTTTACTCGCCAATGAACATCTTTCTGCTGGTGATGATGAATCAATTCTACTATAAACTACTGGCCTGCCCCAGCTTTAACGTATCAAATCTTTCTTCTATCCAAACTTTAACAAAAAATATCCCATTCGATACAGTCATTCGACAGTTAGGTTGCGATTCCATTGACGCGGACCTGGGCGGAGAGGAAGGTTGTAAAGTGGTCAGTGTTTCTACTGAAGCGGGGCGGACTGAAAAGGAGCACAGCGGAGCCTACGTTTGACGCGTATTTTTGCGCTTAGTTACAATCAATCTTTCAGAAAGACAACACGTCCTGTTGCCGTTTAAAAAAAAAACAAAAATTTTATATAATTCTGTACTTGAAAATTAAAATAACGAATCGGATACCGTAGCGTTGATTACCCCCGCTGTCCTCCGCACAGCACTGGCTCTATGTCTTCCGCTTTGCACCCCAATGCTCATAGTCCTCTACACCACATCCTTATATTTTTATTATGAATATCCGCTCATCTCTGCTCCACCCCACTCATGCTGTTTCCATTGAGACGGAGCACAGATTTCAACCATAGTGCACCAATTCTTGCACCGCTAAGCTCCTCTCCGCCCCGCTCAGCGTCAGGGGAAACGCAGCCTTATAGACGTACATACAATTCCAATTTTATTAATAAATTTATTATTATTTTCTATTTTATAGGTGATCTCAGCAAGCTGTTAAAGGAATTAACAGTATGGAAGTATCCAACACCAATGTCCATGGGATATAGCTTGTATCTCCAGACGAGGATTCCATTCCTGTACTGGGTATACTCCTGGCTGTTCCATATGATTCCAGCTTACATTGCTGATGGGGTTTGCTCAGTTCTTGGGAGGCAGAAAAGGTGAGTTTCACAACGTTATTAATCATTAAATTGATTCTTATATATGAACTATCTCTTGCCCTTTCTCTATCTATATCTCTCACTGTCTATCTGTTCTTTAACATTACACCAGTCCTTTTATCCCCAAGGCAGTAGGCAGAGGTGCACTTAATGTCACTGTACAATGTAACACCCACATTTGACTATTTATGTTATGAAGCCCATGTAATAGGGAGTGATATTGATCTCTGTTCGTAAAACTGTTTCTATTCAAAAATGTTTCTTATTAGCTGTTGCGCCCGACTTCGCCCGCGTAGAATATGATTCCTATTTTTTCCCATGGAAGGATTTTATCAGGATAAAAATATCCTATCACCTAAGTTAGCCCATACCCTGCCTGTATACTATTAATAATACTAATTTCATCAAAATCCGTTCAGTATGATTGACGGACAAACATCCAAACAAAGAAACTTTCACATTTATAATAGGTATTAGTTTGACTAGTTTCCTCCAGTGGCTTCACGCGCGAGTTCAATGAAAATTAGACTGATTTTTTGACACGATAGAAAAATCAACACACACTCCTTTATCATAATATTTTCAATTTCAGATTCGTGAAATTATACACAAAGATGACAAGACTGATGGTGGCTTTATCATACTTTACTCTCAACGACTGGCATTTCGCGGACAACAATACTGAAGCCTTATATGACAACCTTTCAGCAGCTGACAAAGAAATTTTCAGTTTTGACATCGACAGGCTTAACTGGACTGAATTCATGTCTTCATTCGTTATAGGAGTCAGACAGTATATCCTGAAAGATGGCCTTGTTAATACTAAGTATGCTATCAAGAAAGTTAAAGTTTTTAGACTTCTGACTTATATTGGAACCGCCATTTATTTGTATTTGTTGTACAAAATTGTTTGTTTTTCATATTCTGGTTTAAGTTTTGCTGTTGGTAAAGTGTTTTAATTTATGTTAGTGTTTATATTTTAGGATACCTAATGTAATTTATTTAGGAATTAAAAAATTATAAAGTACTTTTTCTGGGTTTTCTTTTTTGAAAACTAAGGTTTCCATTTCAATCTTAAGACTTTGACTGCCAATAAAAAACTGTTGAAGGTAAATCCTCCGCTAACGCCGGTCACCGGTGACCCCCATGGCGTTTCAAATTTCAAATTCAAATTCAAATCAGTTATTGCGAATATAGGTCAAGTGTAGATGTTACAGTAGTTATTAGAAAATAATTTGATCAGCTACATTCTGCCAATTAGCATGCAATACTTATTGTGAAAATTACAATTACAATTTATTATTTATTACTAACATTATTTGAATTAGTCATAAGAAAATATTAATTACAATTACAATTTATTATTTATTAATTACATTGTTTAAATTAGTTATAAGAAAATATTAATTACAATTACAATTTATCATTTATTACATTATTTAAATTAGTCTTATGAAAATATAGGTAGATGTCACAAGTAGTCCAAGAACATAAAATTAAGTCATTATTATCATAAAATAATTAATATCATTGAGTCATAAACACTAAGCAAACCTAAAAGTCAACTGAATTTGTCATTAAGATAATCGTATATGCGTTTAACGTGTATAATATGCGTATAATATGCGTTTAACGTGTTAATGATAAATAAACTCTATTCTTAAATTGTCCTTGATATTGCAAACGAACCATACAAAGTAAAAAAAAATACATTTCTAAAAATTAAAAAAGTACAGCAAATCTTCAAGAAATAACTAGTTTCATTCATCGACCCAACACTACAAAATACTCCACTCAAAATAGCACACACAACAAATACACATTTCCGAAACATTACACTAAGTTCACTACTTACAAAATCCCTTTACATTCGCCATTGCTTACAAAATAATACATTGAAACTTCAGAATTCCAAAGGCCTTTCGTACTCCACTCTAGGGTCAAGAACAAGCTACTGTCACCCGAATGATGACCCCAACCGCCCGTAACGATCGCCCCATCTCATTCTAACCTTAACAAACCGCATATATCCCTCTCTGTCATTACTCAACTTGACAGCTCGCACTCAGAACTGAATGAGCGCAATTGCGATTTTTTTTCTTACTTTTTTTTTCATGTATGTTTGGTCCGACTTGTGGTGTTTAAAATGTGATAAAATGGGTTTTTATGTAACCCATATGCGGGTGAATTGAGGTTGGAGTACGTGGGGGGCTTTTGAGGTCAAGTTGTATTGATGTTAAGGGTCTTGGATGACCCGTGTTGGCTGGTACAGAGTTCATTGAGTCTATGATATGTTAAATCTTTGATTAATAAACTTCTCATTGTGAAATGCATTAATTGGACAGTTATAACTATGTATACGGTTTCCTAATATTAAAAAGGCGAAAGATTAGATGTAATTTTTTCAATTACGTCAGAACGTATTAAGTGTTGGAGAGCCATGCTTCGACACGAATGGGCCGGCTCGACCAGAGTGATACCAGGGCTCACAGAAAACAGACGTGAAATAACGCTTGCGTTGTGTTTCGTCGTGTGAGTGAAGTAACCGGAGGCCTAATTATCTCCCCTCCCCAATCTCTAAATCCCCAACAATCCTGAAATTAAATCTCCGAAAGGCCGGTAACGCTCTTGTAACGCCTCTGGTATTCCAGGTGTCCATGGGCGACGCTGTTTACTTACCATCAGGTGATCCATCTGCTCGTTTACTGGCTTATCCAACAAAAAAAAAATCGGTCGGACGATTTTGGATAAAAGTTGCCACAACGATAAATAATAGACTGCTCCACTTTTTGTCGTAGTAACACTAGCGATGCCACTGGCAGAATAACCTCAATTTATTGACAAATAAATAAATGAGTCTCGTGTGGCACTAAGCTTGTTATAAAGGTTTAAAAACTTTGTCAGTTTAATGAATTCTTGAACAGATATTTTAATCTTTGAAACAGTGAACCCGTGCTTTAAAAAATAACTTTCATTAATTATTGTGTCAAATTAGTCACATTACTATTCAACCAGGTAACTCGACGAATTTCAGGCCACGCCAGGGACCTTTAATCATTAACATTTTACTCGACAACTCACGTAACCTAAATGGTTATAATATAAAAACATGTAGCTCACATGAATTCTTGACTTCTTCCGAGTTATATGTACCTACTTTCTAAGATTATTTAGACAAAACTGACAAACGGTGAAGGAAAACATCATGAGGTAACCTGGGCTTATAATTTCTCAGTATAAGTTTGAAATCGCCAACCCGCATTGAGCAAGCATGGTCATTAATGCTCAAACCTTCTCTATGTGAGAAGAGGTCTTTGGTCAGCAGTGGCTACTTGTAGGCTGTTGATGATGATGATGATGATAACATGAAATTAATAGCACGGTAAATCGTATCCTCCATCAAATACTAACTCGTTTACTTCATTTGGTTTACTCAATTTTTGAACTCCAAATGGTTGTAAAGCTAACTTTAATCCAATGTTACAAATTATAGCCTTCGTATCATTCCCTTTTATAAATAAAGTCATTTCCCGCCGCCGAACGAACTACTGGCTGGGTTACGTACCAAGCAGGTGGAACACAGAAGTTCCAAATTAAATTAGAATATCTTTAACCAAAACATACATAGTGCCAATTCCTAATAAATAATGCCAGGGAAATAAATATATATTATTGAGTATTTTCTTTTTTCTACTGTACTAACCTGTACTGTACCAATAACACTGGCTCCAAAAGAAATAAAAATATCAAGTTGATTGATTCCAATAATAACTCCTCATAATAACGGCGACGCTGACGTGAAACAACGCTTGTGTTGTGTTTCATCGTGTGAGTGAGGTAACCGGAGGCACAATTGGAAGAGGAGGGGTGTGGGGGTCCACACAATCTCCAACAATCCTCAAATTCCTAATTCCTAAATTGTCGGTAACTCACTTTTAACGTCTGTGGTGTTCCCAGTTTCCGTGGGCGACGCTGATTGCTTACCATCAGGTGGTCCATCTATTCCTTTACCGGCTTATCCCACGACAAGGTTGAAACCTTTAAAATTTGCCTACTTATGCAACTTCTAGATTGGCCGGTCAAAAGCGCAGTCATTAGAGAATATTTTTGTATAGCAACAGACATCTAGTAGTTAAAATTATAAAATATGATGATGGTGATAATAACATAAAAACATAACATCATGCCTTTTATCCCCGAAGGGGTAGGCAGAGGTGCACACAGAAGTAACACCCACTTTTCACTAATTATGTTATGAGTCCCATGTAATAGGGGGTGAGCCTATTGCCATAAACCGGACACTTTTCCAGACTCCGTGTTACTACTGAGATTTTTTTTAAAACCCAGTAATACTTTGCCCGATCCGGGAATCGAACCCGAGACCCCTTGCCCGATAGTCGCACTTGCGGTCGCAAGTCAGTCAGCCAACGAGGCAGGCATGGTGATAACGACTCATGCAATAATGATAACACTCTCATATTATCAATTTAACTTTTAATAATCTAATTCTTTTTGAACCTTCTGATAATACTTATACTACATTTCTCAGTTATATGTCGAGTGTTAGGTATTCGTTATAGCGTGAAACTTTCAGCTTACACGCTAAACTTGCGTCACGGCCACACCTTCAGGGCAGGTTTCACAGTAACACGGCGCCGTGTTAGTTTGAAAGCCTTTGTTTTATCTTGATTACTGACGACAATCTGATTTTAGTTGTAAAATGATAGCTGTAGTCAGTTTCATTGTAAGCTTGTTTTCGTTTAGTGTTTAAGTGTTAGTGAATTAATTTTAGTTTTTTTACAAAATTCTATTTTATATTTGCCTCGTTGGCCGAGTGGTCACAAGTGCGACTGCCGGGCAAGGGGTCTCGGGTTCGATTCCCGGGTCGGGCAAAGTATTACTGGGTTTTTAAAAATCTCAGTAGTAGCACGGAGTCTGGAATTGTGCCCGGTATATGGTAATAGGCTCACCCCGTATTACATGGGACTCATAACATAAATAGTGAAAAGTGGGTGTTACATTGTACAGTGGCATTAAGTGCCGTAATGTCCGCACCTCTGCCTACCCCTTCGAGGATAAAAAGGCGTAATGTTTTGTTATGAATCTATTTTATATTTGGAAATATGAGAGTGAAATCTGTTTGTAATGTGAATGTAGCTGCTTAATACATCTTGGAAAACTTAATCTTTTCAACTGTATTGTCATTTCTATTCATCATCATCATCAGTTCATTTCCATTTCCCAAGACACTCTCTTCGATAGACTTTTTATGCTGAGTGCCAAGCACGAATAACTATCGCATTCGTAACGTAGCAGTATCGAGCGCATTCGGCGCTCCGATTGGCCGGCTCAAGTGAACCAACCAATCAGAACGCTTAACTCGCTCGATACTGTTACGATACGAATGCGATAGTTATTCGTGCTTGGCCCTCTGACCTAGATTTACCTTATATTCCAGATTTCGGCATCAATATTAAATTCTGTCTAAGAGGGTATTGTCCTAAATTTAGCTCAGAGTTCAGACGGTGAAAAAAATCTAGTATAAATAAGCTATTTAGAAAACTAATGTTTGTGTCTAGATCAATCTTAGAAATAGCCGTCTTGACTTGTCTGCAGTCACAATTTATAAACAAGTCACCGTTTTGATGTGATTTTACAAACTCTCAAATCAAGATTTTTCGCATTATTATCAATATGATTGTGAAGAAAAAAATGTCGACCCAAACTGGGCCAAAGTATCACCAATGCAGATTGAGAAAGCGAAGCGTCGTGATTAATACTCAAATCATCTCCGTGTGAAATCCTTAAATTCCTAATTCCCAAAAAGCTGGTTACTAACTTTAAACACCTGTTACCATGTGCACCATGTTTCGGATGTCCATGGGTGGCGGCCATTGCTTACCATCAGGTGATGCGCCAGCTCGATTAACGGGTTTATTCCAAAAAAAAACACTTTTTTTTGACAGCTGTAATGATTATACAAAATGACTATCTAGTTGTTAGATTAACGCCATGTAGTGACCAAAGAAAACGATAGTCCCTCATTGGGTATGGTGGTATACCCTGCCGTCACCATACGAGTCACAGGACATAAAAACCATTTTCAAAAGTCCAACTATAACCAAACCACCACATTTCTAAAACCGCCACAAAACTCCACAAAGTTACCATGTTACTCCAGCACTCTCGAATGAGGTCAAACTGAACTCCAGTTAAACTGATCCGCAATTTAACCGAGTTTGGTGTAGTCCCCCTCAGTTGTACGGTTGTACCCATCCATCAAGTCCAAGAGGAAATGTTTTGCCCAACGCTTTCCTTCCTGGCATGGCTATCAAAGTGCTTCTCATAACCGGCGCTAATATCCTACGATTATGGTTATACAACTTGCAAAAATCGTGGAATTGTGTCGAGGAAATCTGATTTGTAATTGCTTTTGTGGTTTTGATTGTGGGTTGGACTATCTTATTGTCAGATAGCTTTGCGAAGAGCTAGTGCCATGTAAATTCTTTAGGTACCCTGGTGGAAGGTGTGTTAATGGACAAGGTAAACTGATAAGGGACTTCATTGGACAATCTGATCTCTGTAATCGTGATCTGGAGGTTTACTCTTGAATCCAATTCCGATCAATCAACATTGACATACCATCACGCCTTTTATCCCCGAAGGGGTAGGCAGAGGTGCACATTATGCCACTGTACAATGTAACACCCACTTTTCACTACTTATGTTATGAGTCCCATGTAATAGGGGTGAGCCTATTGCCATATACCGAGCACAATTTCAGACTCCGTGCTACTACTGAGATTTTTTTCAAAAACAACATTTACATTGTGAAAATCCGTACTCTTGAGTTATAACACTAGCGCCTATTGCATCCGTATTGTGTGGATATTTAATGAACTAAATGGTATTGAGTTTGGTTTTAGAGGTATATACTGTACTCTGAATGCCATTTTAACAGCTACGGGT